GTGTTTGTATTATTCTATAATGAATGGATCACACGGACCAGATTTCCGTTCTTCATTTGTATATACTAAATGTATTGTATATCATAGCGGTTTATAATTAACATTATACATGTGCTGTACAGGGAAAGGCTACGGCCAACGTTTGGCAGTAAAAGCGATAAAATCTAACATACAGTCCAGTACATACATACCTACAAGTCCTTTCGTTGGTCACCTTTGAGCATAAATGCATTTCATGTCACTTTTTGGCAAATTACCGATACGAGTGGGCAACGAATTGTTATTTCCTTTACCAACGTTAGTAAGTTTATTTTCGTAATTGATAGAATAGAAGGAAATGTATTGTTGTGAAATAAATCATGATCTGACGAAAAAACGATGCTCTGTTTTAACTATATACTTCAAACTAGTGTTATTGTGTTTTAAAAACTCAGTCCCTGGGTTAGTTGGAGTGGAGCCGCAGGGATATGGTATTGCTGTAGTAAATTGAGTGGAAGTCTGGGTATGTTCTTCGCCAGTTGAGTGAATTCTTTCGACATTCTTATTCAACTGTTAAGGAAAAGGTCTGAACCTAACGTTCTCGAATGGTCATATAGGTCACATTTGAAGGACAGGCACATTTTGGAATGTACGAGCATAGCTCGATATGAAAGTCAGTATACAATCGCTAGTCAAGATAAAAGACATTCTATAAATCAGTCTAGAGTGACAGGATTTGTTTTACATTTCACAGCTGGTATAACCAAATGCAAGCTCATGAACAACACAACCTTAATACAGTATATGAGGCTGTCGTATGGGTGATCAGCAAAGGTTTTTAACAAGATATTTAAACTAAATTCCATCCCAATATAGCCGCACCACGTTGGTAAAAGCAAAGATAAATGCAGTTATTAAGAAGGAAAAACAAAAGGTCAAGACGTAGTTCAAATGGTCTGTGTTACTGTTGCAGAAAATATATCTTACATTGTAAAACTTAAAGCCGTACACAAAGAACTCAACATTGAGAAGATATTGGAAAGAGTAGAGAATGCGACGACTTTAAAAATAATATACATGCTCTGTGAGTTTTCTCCTTACTCTGATAAGTTAGAGTCGCGGTTTCCTAGCGACTTTTCAACTTTGTCACGCCTATGTCTATATTGCACAGCACGAGACGCATTTCAAAACAAAAGTCCGTCATCTTGCTAAGTTCGATACACTAAAACAGGTAAACGTATAACAAAGCAAAATCGGGTTCGGATGATGTGCCAGAGGAAAACAACGAGAAGAAAAGTTTAGTTGGGAACTTGATGGACAGGGAATGATTCGTGGTTTCACAGTGTCACCGGGATAACGCTCCGTCGTCAATCTCATCTTACAGGTGGAGGAAGTATTCACGCCTGGGCAAGGAGTCTGTTATAAGCGTAAGATCGTAAATCTAACGACCAGCAACATTCCCCAGACAGGGCCACGGGGATTCCCAATACCACAGAATATAAACGGAAAGCGAGGGTTCTACTGGAATAACTTGCAAACACCAAACAGAAGAACAATCTTACATGTGCATTTCATAGAAACAGGATGTGTTGGACAACAAAACAGAAACATATTACCCCAGGTGTGGGAAGAGTTCATATTTAAGATTTTGTTAAGAAAAGTGGCATCTCCTCCGACCTTTCAATGAAGTACTATGAAGTGGCGAAGGTTCTTGCTCGCATCCTACGTCCATTCGTAGGGTATAAACACCATTACATGCACGACACCCTTTTTAAGCTGGCCCTAATGAGGACTTTGTCTCATACGACATGAGTACACTGTTCACTGATGTCCCGGGGAGGCAGGCAATATGTCATCCGAGTAAGACCTGATTGTAACAAAACTTGGAATGTGTAGAAGATTTTAATTGTACAAAGGATTATGGTCGCCTTCTAGCTTCGCTTTAGAAACAATTTCAGTTTAGTGCTAGAGCGTCCGACTAGAAAGTCTGGGATCGCGGGTTCGATCCCCACTGGAAGCACACAGAACAAACATGACAGCTGATCAGGTTACGAGAATACTGGAGGTATGTCTTACCTATTATACAGGAGACATATTCCAACAAGACGGATCAGCCATAGGATCTCTTGTTTCAGTTGGTATCTTACCTTATCAACAACTCAAATCCGACGATCAAGTTAACCATGAAGCGGACACCAATGGGAAGTCCATGCTAGATGTATTGGTATACACATGAAACTGGAGGTTTCAGTTTAAAATGTGATGTGGCGGAAGGCAACACAAACAGATTAGTAGAGAGCTTTCGAACCCCCTCCATCCTAGGCTGGGTGTGGTTAGATATCTCGTTAATAAGACTATGATTTCCATCAATTGCCATCAGTGATTGCACTAATATGAAAGAGGAACACCAACATTCTTCCCTTCTAATGCAGAGGAGGGGCATTCAGTGCGAGATCAGGGAGATATTCTGGCACTCGGACCAAAGAGCCCCATAGGCTCACGGAACGGAGGCTGTCGGCCTCGAATACCTCTGCTGTAACTGAGCATGCCCTGAAGACTGACGAAGAGACGTTCTTGTTGTAAAATCTCATCCTCGACAGGGAACAAGGTTTGAGAGGTACCTCCTGCTAACTTACACTACTCCTTCGAGCGATGTAGGCCAACGTCCACACTAGTGTAACCAATATTGACTGTAACAACCAACGTCCATACTAGTGTAACCAATTTTGACTGCAACAACCAAACGTCCACACTAGTGTAACAAATATTGACTGTAACAATCAAACGTCCATACTAGTGTAACCAATATTGACTGCAACAACCAAACGTCCACAATAGTGTAACCAATATTGACTGTAACAACCAACGTCCATACTAGGGTAACCAATATTGACTGTAACAACCAAACGTCGACACTAGGGTAACCAATATTGACTGTAACAACCAACGTCCATACTAGTGTAACCAATATTGACTGCAACAACCAAACGTCCACAATAGTGTAACCAATATTGACTGTAACAACCAACGTCCCCACTAGTGTAACCAATATTGACTGTAACAATCAAACGTCCACACTAGTGTAATCAATATTGACTGTAACAACCAAACGTCCATACTAGTATAACCAATATTGACTGTAACAACCAACGTCCATACTAGTGTAACCAATTTTGACTGCAACAACCAAACGTCCACACTAGTGTAACAAATATTGACTGTAACAATCAAACGTCCATACTAGTGTAACCAATATTGACTGCAACAACCAAACGTCCACAATAGTGTAACCAATATTGACTGTAACAATCAAACGTCCATACTAGTGTAACCAATATTGACTGCAACAACCAAACGTCCACGCTAGTGTAACCAATATTGACTGTAACACCCAAACGTCCACACTAGTGTAACCAATAATGACTGTAACAACCAAACGTCCATACTAGTATAACCAATATTGACTGTAACAACCAAATGTCCACACTAGTGTAACCAATATTGACTGCAACAACCAAACGTCCACACTAGTGTAACAAATATTGACTGTAACAATCAAACGTCCACACTAGTGTAACCAATAATGACTGTAACAACCAAACGTCCATACTAGTATAACCAATATTGACTGTAACAACCAACGTCCATACAAGTGTAACCAATATTGACTGTAACACCCAAACGTCCACACTAGTGTCACCAATATTGACTGTAACAACCAAACGTCCATACTAGTATAACCAATATTGACTGTAACAACCAACGTCCATACAAGTGTAACCAATATTGACTGTAACACCCAAACGTCCACACTAGTGTCACCAATATTGACTGTAACAACCAAACGTCCATACTAGTATAACCAATATTGACTGTAACAACCAACGTCCATACTAGTGTAACCAATATTGACTGCAACAACCAAACGTCCACAATAGTGTAACCAATATTGACTGTAACAACAAAACGTCCACACTAGTGTAACCAATATTGACTGTAACAACCAAAGCTTCTTAGTTAAGCTTATCACAAATGTTCCAAAAGTCAGGAGCGGTGTATAAGTGTATTTTTGTGTTGAGGATACGAAATGTATGTAGTATAAGAGTTTTGATGTATGGTGTAGTTTGGGAGTGCTGTGGATGATCAGGTGCGGGCACTTTCTATTAAAATATTGCACTAAGATTTTTAGCTTATTTGGACATACCATCAAAAGTTCAATGCAATATAGAGGTGTCTGATATAATGAAAGAATCGAAGGGAACACTTACAACGCAACTCCAAATAGAACAGTTAAGTCTTCAATTGCTATTCTGATGGAAATCAAAACAATTGCAGTAGTGGCACAATCTTTGTACATGAAGGATCAAATGTTTTTGCTGCATGATGTTGCAAGCAAAAATACATGCACGCGTTTTTGTTATTGAACAGCACGTGCGAAGGCCGATAACGCCAACTGACAAAACCTGTAGTGTGAAATAATTACGGAACTTAGAATGTGCCTATCACACTATCCATTGAAATGTTTACTTACATATGATTTAAAGCTTGGGAAATTTGCTATATAGATGTCTTATGTGGCGCTGATAGTGCGTCACAATTAAATGTTTTATTTTTCAAAAGTAGCCTAGCACGTATTAAAATCGAATTTTGCATACATGTACCGAATCTATTCTTTATATGCTGCAAATATGAAATAGCCAATATATATATGCTTTTTTTTTTTCAATTTTGGCATGTAACAACTGTATGGACAATTTACAAAGCGTGTTGCAATATTTCTAGCTATGTTCACTACTACATTAGTGTAACAGGGAGGATAACTCTAGGTACGGAACAACTCCCGTTATTATATGAACGTGATATCAACTAGACCTAAGGAAGACCTGAATCTGTATCAGTCCTGTTTTAGCACACTTGTACTTAGCAAGATTGCCTGTAATCAATGATAATCACCCTCATAAGTGTCAGATGGTGATGTGTATTTGTAAACGGATAGTGTCATAAACATTACCAACAGAAAATTTAAACTTCAATTAGTTTATTTCCATAGAAAGAGCGACCTAGATTATTATTGGAAAACACAAATGTCTAAAGAATTCAGACTGGTTACCTGAAATGTTCAATGTAAATAACAGAAAACACCGTGAGCACTGGTGTATGTGCCTGTTTAAAAAATGGTAGTATTTATCTTTGACATTTGATAAAGCCTTAGACATTACCAATAATACAATCAGAGAATATTATCAATGCTTAACAAAATTCACTCACTAAATAAGCAACACTTTACAGCAATAGGACATAAACCCAGCGACATTTTCATAACTTATGTCTATACTCAAGTCCGACAGATTAAGTAACTTATGTCTATACTCAAGTCCGACAGATTAAGTCATGTGTAGCCTAACATAATGCAAACAAGCAAATATATCTACATACACACATGTGGTGCAGTACGGTATACAAAGTTTACATTTAATACCTAAAGGGAGGTCGCAAAAATATTAGACATCTTTAAATGAAATAAAATATCTCTAAATGAATTAAAAATGATTACATGAAAGAGAGATATCACAAAAATAATTAAAGATATCTTTGTGTCTCATATAATAAGGATTAAATGAATTATCAATATTGTTTATAAGATATACATGTATCTCAAAAAAGAGATACCATATTTTTTTAAATTGTTTCAGTACAGCTGGGCAATCTTTCATACAATATCTACCTGGTCAAGCAGGCACACTGCTTACTCCAAGAAATATCATATGAGGCTCTGTCTGGGTCATAGATTGGGATTGTCATAGGTTTCCAAGCATTTTCAAGGTGTCAAAGCAGCAAATAAATAAACTACATTGTAACTGTTATTTACATTGGAAAACTTGTAAGTTATCGTGTCGTTGAACCGAGAAGAAAAACAGGTTAACATCTCCTGAACATTAGAATATATGATTTCATTAATACTGTAGAATTTTAAGACTACTGACTCGACATGTGAAGTTTCATGTCTTGACATAAAATTGTCACAAACTGGATAGTAAACACTTATTTCGTGCTTGGGCAGGCAATGTTTGAAATATTTTCCTCTTTGTGCTTGGACCAACCACAGGAATTATAGCCAAAAGGCAAAGCCACTTTGATTGGTCTAAACAACTGGAAGGATATATTTCAAACTACTCCCTGCACAAGCATTAAGTAACTGTGTACATGTTATGTTAACCGTTCCCCCCCCCCACAATTTTTTTTTTTATTTAGAAATGTAACTGGTTCTCTGCATTGTCTACATTGTACACATACTTCAACATGTGTAGTGAACAGCTGTGAGTTTGTTTTACAACACCTATATATATGATAACAATTTTTATTGGATGAAAAAGTACGTCAGTATGCTTTGTCAGGTTGAGTTTAAAATGAAAATGTACTGCGACATCTATGTAGACCTTGATCCATTATCTATTAAGTAGATTAAACATGATAATGAACCCAAATCTTTATTTGTGATTCCATTTTAACAAAAAATCAAGCATAGAAGTGTTAACAGTCATACCATGATGTACAAATACAGGTGTAAGTTTTTCCCATGATTATATGAGTGAGATCTAGATTTTCTTCTACAACGCAAGAATTTACAAGCACTACTTCTTCAGTGACAATAATTACTATAAGCACAAGTAAAATACAACCTAGTTGTGATGTAAGTCCTTTTAAGAAATAGAAGGTCAAGTAAAACACTGCTGTAACAATATCATAGTAAGATTGATACTACAAACGATCATAGAGAAATGGATGATAATGATGATGATGATGATGATGATGAAGCTAACATGTTTGTTTTAAGCAAGCACTTCAAAATAAGCAAAACATGCATTGGCCAACTATAGCTCTGCCTAATGATAATGCAGCTAGTCTTATATAATATACCGCTTTATCACAACCTAGTTACATGTAGTAGGTCGTCTCAAAGCGGTTCACAAATTATTTTGTTTAAACATATTTTTATTGCCTTGAAAATGACAAAAAGGATTGGGCACAAATTCGTACAACTTAATTAAGCCCTCTCCTAACTTAAATACATTTTACATACATCATAGCTGTCTTAACATTTTATTTTATTTTTCATTTTTTAAATTAAAGTTGAATCAACAAATTATTATCAGTGTTTATAGGGCCTTTGCACCTAGCCAATATCATTCTCAACTGCCTGCGGAGCATACAGCCAGTGCTGCCATTTCGGCTCTCACAGCTAGCATTCTACAATTCTAGCACTGCCCAACTATACGTACTCATTTACAGCTGAGTAGACTGGAACAAGCAGAGTAAAGTATCTTGCTCAAAAAAACAACACATTGCTGTGCCATGACTTGAACCCGCCACCCTTTGGTCTTGATCCCCACGTCCTACCACTAGACTACAGTGTCTCCTTTATATATATGAGTGGAAAATAAGGGGAGAATTGTCTATTTAGTAAAGAGTCTTTACCCTACCCAATGTACAGTTTGGCCATATTTTAAACATGTTCTTACCCTGTAAGAGAGTCCTCTTGACACATTGGGACCTCTTTATCAAGTAAGTGACCTTTCATCAATTGTCTCTATCCCTTGTTGGTCCCACTTACCTGTTCATAGGGGTGGGGTGCCGGTGGGGGATTTGCCTGTTATACACATTCAGTTCCATTGATAATTTATACACATTGAAATCGAAATCATTTAACTTTATTTTCCTTATTTAGTTCCACCCCTAAGGAATAGCCTAGAGATGGGCTGGGGTTTGAGTGAGGCCACACCCTTAGTATATGCAACATTGAGTTCCTTTCCAGGGGGCTGGCATATTTGTTTTGAATTTTAACAAAATAATACAGTATGTAGATTTTGAATGAGAAACTTTCCTTTTGACAAATCTGCTATTTTGCCTAGGACGTCTAGATTTTAGATATTGCTAAACATTTCATCTAACAATAAGGTCCACACAGCTGCATACACTATAAAATAATGACGTGGTCAATTGTCACACTCATAAGGCGAATGTGCAATGAGAATAATGTATTTCACTGAGGATTTGTCAAAATGGTAATAAGAAGAATCAATCGTCTCTGTATGAGATAGAGCGAATAATCTTAACAAAAAGGAAAGGATGAGCTTTAGAAAGTAATTATTTAATAAAAATAATACTTTACAGAAACACTCTTGTTATCATTTTTAAGTCTACCCCACACAAGGATGATTGATTCTGTTACCAGTCATTTTCTCCAGAGCTTAGCATCAAGCAAAACGCTGGAGAAAACACTAGTTACTATAGTGACAGTTGGTGCATTCCAACAAGAACACATGTAGATGACCGATAGTTATATGTTCTTGCAATCATAAGTATTTCACTTTTATTACTTCATGTTGAAGTCATTTTATAGTCTAATATCATGATTTCAATGACTCAGCATCACAAGGGTCTAATGTATGTTGTAACAGTACCCCTGATATCACAGTGACAGGTTTGAACAGCTGTGCGACTGCAGAGAACCATGACATATACTGGATAAACACTGATTATGACTTTTAAGTATGCTCTAATGTTATGTCACTGGTGACTGGGTATCTTTAACATAACCACCTCATAGATGTGGATTTCGAAGAGAATGTCAGAGGATACATCAATATCAACAGGGTTGAACACTTTTCAGGGAGTATGTATTGGAACAGACATCACGATATAGCTTCCGATTGTGCAGTTCTGCTGGTGGCACAGTAACAGGTTGGACCATTCTCTGTAGTTATATCAAAGCCATGGTTGACCAGCTCATAGTACCAATGATGGCAAAACGACTGATACAACACTGTTTTGTAAAGACGTATCCTGCCAGAAATGGTTTACAAGCTCATAACATGTAGGTCCAGATACCTTTGATGTCGAAGATGAAAAGGACTCTTTCCTGTAGAGATTTATCGTACCAAACATGGCTGTGCAGCTAGCTCACAATACAAAGGTTCAATAGTAGCCCGATGTCACAGCTACAGATATGACATTCTTCTGTAAAGATGTATCATGCCGGACATGGTTGATGAGCTCACGACATGTAGGTTCTCACGGTACCTCTAATATCACAACGACAGATAGGACAATGCTGTACTGCTGGAGCACATGTGACACAGGCACAGAGGTGACCACAAGGCAGAAACACCATCCCCACCTCCTCATCCAGACAGATCTTGCATGTCTTCTGGTCTTTTAGTGTCCGAATCTCTTCCGACAGATCTAAATAAATCAAAAGCAACATAAAATACAGCCAAATAATTTACTAGAAAATATCTATAGATGTAAGAAAATAAGAGCAGCTATATATCTTTTTATTTTACTATTTACCTAATAACTGAAAAATTCTTTTCGATTTTGTTTCTGTAAATTTACAATCAAAGTTTTGGTAATAAGCACCATAACATTGCTGACGATTATCAAACAGTGTTACATGTTTTACATGTATTATATATATTCACTATTGTGATTCTCAAAGCAAAATCTCCATGTGATCATTAAAACAAATGAGACAAGCAATGTCTTTATATCATAGTTACCTGGATCTTCTGACTTTTCTGAGCTTATACTTTCATCCTTTGAGCTGCTTGGATCTTTAGCTATTTGAAATATTTTAAATGATTCAAAATTAAATTTAACCGTAGTCAATTTATTAAGCTCTCTCCTCATAAATCATTAATAACACTTTTCTACATCAGACACCTTTTTTGTATAATATGTGGGAACTTCGGGAATACATTAGCATATGACATAAACTCTTAATGGTTTTTCTTCAACTTCAACTTCCTCCTAGACTAGACAGGTTATACAAACACAGAGATACAAAGTACTGTCTAGTTAACACATGTAGTAGTTAATGTGTAACATAGTTACTTTCATTGAGTTCCAAGAATATAAGACTCTTTCATGCTCAGGAGTGTAGGATAGGGAAATTCCACCTGAAAGGGATTTCAAATTTGGTAAAATCTCAGGCTTTGCCGAGTGTTTTGCCAAATTTGAAATCCCTCGGGTGGAATTTCCTTATTCTACATCCTTGGGCATGAAAGAGTACTTATCTCTCATTCCAATCACCAGAACAAGCTCAGAAACCGTGAAAATGCGTTTGGACTGGCCACCATTTTCAAAATATCATTTTTTCCCCTGAGCTTTTTAGATGAAAATGAATCAGCCAGCCAGATTTAGCATTTCCAATATTTAAAAACAGTGTTTGCACAGAAATAACAATCACATCTTTCTAACATGTACGGTAAATATAAAATGAAAGGTTTTCATTTCATCACATTGCCTTTTCCGCATTGCGGCATCAGAGAGTTCCAAATTTGTGACGTCACGTCATTATTGAGACATTGTGACGTCACGTCACATGAAATGGGGTGTAAGATAGAAATTTCCTACACCCCTTTCCTACCCTGGACAGTTCTATCTTACACACAAGGAAATGAGAGAAAAGAATATCAACAATCATTAATGCCATAAACTACTTCGTTACATAAACTTATTTATAACATAAACTATTGGATAACATGAGCATACTAACAATAACAAGAACTACTTAATATATGCACATATTATACAAGCTAATAAAACTTAGCAGGTCAATAATCTGTACCCAAATAAGAAAAGCGGAATAACTCCTATAAAAACAATTTTACTGAAAGAAAATTATATATGGCAATCACACAATTTACCTAAAGTACCAATCATTAAACCAAGTTTCATAAATATCGCCCAAGAAGATCAGTAGCCATACTTTTGGGTGAATTGTAAATGGAAATCACCATAAGGACCATAGCTCCCAACGAAATAGTCAAAAATCAAATAAAATACATTTAGATTGCCAGTGCAGAACTATACCTAATACGCATGCACTGATCATGTGTACCGAGTTTCATAAATATTGACACAAAAAGGTTAGTACTTTGGACTAAAACCTTTTCAAGGAGTTAAGAGATGGGGCATAACTCTTAATAAGTTGTGAAAACAAACCACAACAGCAAAACAAGCTGGAGTACTGATCATGTGCACCATTGATGAAGGTAGTAAGTAATAGTTATAAAATGGAACGAAAAAATCATCTTAACCAAACATAAACTGCAAAAGCACTTCTACCTAAAGAAATGATCATGTGCACCAGGTTTATCAAAATTACTTGAAAAGTAGTGCTGCTCTAAACAAATTTATATTTATAGATATGCAAACATAACACCCTGATTACAGTATATCCCCTCCTTATTTGTTTCAAGGGGTATAACTCCTAATAACAAGAACTTCTTAAAACATTTTCTTAAAACTGTTAAACAATTACCTACATATTGTATAGTAAGAACTGACAAGTGTATTACATGAACTAACTAGTGCATAGTAAGAACTGACAAGTGTAATACATGAACTTCCAACTGTTTAACATGAACTTACTAGTGCATAGTAAGAACTGACTAGTGTATTACAGGAACTAACTACTGTTTGACATGAACTTACTAGTGCATAGTAAGAACTGACAAGTGTAATACAGGAACTAACTACTATTTAACATGAACTTACTAGTGCATAGTAAGAACTGAC